TGGCAATATATACAAATAGGTTCACGTTACAAACTATACAATCACTTAATTCATGAGCTAATTGTATCAATGTTGTTTTCGGATGATTAAAATCAGTTTAAWTAACGCTTCAGGTGCTCCMTTAGTTCGTTACCGYCACTGTTCACATTGTGCCCGGGTAAAGGACGTCGTCTATTACCGTCATCGTCATCAGTGATATCAATAGGCGTGTCATCGGCCATATCCACACAAATATTGTGGAGAACACAACAAGCAATAATGGTACTGGGGGCTCGCTCTGTCGCTTCGTTGAGCAATTCCAAAAGACAGCGCCATCGGCCTTTTAATCGCCCAAATGCTTGTTCGACAACAACTCGTACCGASCTAAGTTTTTTGTTGAAGTTTCTCTGTTCGTTCGATAATACACCTGTTTGTGAGTACGGTTTCATCAGCCACGTTGTCAGTGTATAAGCTGGGTCTCCAATTATCAGGGGMTTGACTTGTTTCCCATTTATGTTCTTGATTGGACCGCATAAAATATCCTGGTTTTCTACATCTCTGTAAAACTTGCTCAAACGGAGTATCCTGGCATCATGTACACTACCCGGATAGCCGGTACTTATATGTCTAAACCGACCATAACTGTCGACTACTGCTTGTAGCACCATACTATAATATTGCTTTCTACACCRGTAACATTCTGGGTTAATCAAAGGCCTCTTGATTTCTATATGACTGCCGTCAAYTGCGCCAGCAACTTGAGGGAACGACCCAATTTCTTCAAAACCTTCTATTATTTTCTGCGTTTCTTCCACACTGTTCGGAAAATTAATAAAATCAGCCGCTTTTCTCCTTAATATTTCACAAAATTCATTCTTTATGCCATTTGCTGTTGATTTCGGCAAGCCAAAGATTAAACCAGAACTCAGGTATGAGTTGCCTGTTGCCAGTCGTAAGAGTGCTATCGCTACTCGCTTTCTTAAAGGAATTGCTTGCCTTAGTATAGTGTCTCTCCTGGACAGCTCCSRTCCAACAATCTCACATATTTTTTCAAATGTGCGTCTATTCACTCGAAGATGCTCCTTCCACATAGACTCTGGGAGTGTGTTATTCAACAGATTTTCGAAGAAATGTTGCTGTCGATCCCAAGACCAAGATCTTCGCTTTTTCCCGCGTTGTTGTCTTCGAAGCAATAAAAGAATTGCGATAATACACTTTCTCTGGCGTTTTCTCCTGAGAAACAAGAGCCTTAATAGTTGGGTTTTTCGAATTGATCCTAAAGTAGACGTCAGCGAGGACAGCATTAAAGCTAAAATAAGAAAGTTTTGTGCTGTATCTAGTCCGTCCATGTTGACTAACACTCGCGCGCCAAATACTTGAACTATAGGAGTTTGATTACAGGTCAGAATAAAGGTCACACTGAACATATATCAATGTGAACGCTGTTAATCATTCAGCTAGCTAGATCTGTTCCGTGATGACAGATCTGTGGTGTCAAAAAAACTATTATCCAGCTTATTTTTGTCCTAGTCTGAACACAAGGAAAAGATCTTGCATTTTATTATAACAGTTGAGAAGACTGTTGTCAAGAGATCAACAAACCCACAAAAAAGTTAAAAAAGTATAAGTTGTTCAGTTAAATAACTTGTATAATGCCACTGCATTCAGAGGCTGTAACTGATCTAAAAAATNCCGTGTATAAATAAAGTCTACTTACTTACTTACTTACTTACTTACTTACTTACTTATTGTTATCGCTAGTGTCCAAACTGGCCGGTTTAGCTATAAAATGGTTTACAGACAACCAAAATGTCCCTCGTATTCTGTCATGTGGGAGCAGGAGGGGTCACTTACAGCGGGAAGCTCTTGATATTTTTCAGATCTGCTGTAGGCACAATATCTCGATCGAAATGGAATGGATTCCGCGCGACCTAAACGAGCAAGCAGACTTTTTAAGTCGGATTTATGACGCCGACGACTGGGGTCTTTCTGTCACATCTTTTAGAATGCTCGACGCGGTATGGGGACCGCATTCGATTGATCGCTTTGCAAGTTACCTTAACTATAAACTTCCAAGATTTAATTCCAGGTTTTGGAATCCAGGGTCTGAGGATATCGACGCGTTTGTGCTCAACTGGAGTGGTGAGAATAACTATGTTTGTCCGCCTATTTCTTTAATTCCCAGAGTCCTTCTCCATATGAGTAATTGCCAGGCAACAGGAACACTGGTGGTGCCACTGTGGCGCTCAGCGCCGTTTTGGCCTATGCTTACTGATGACGGGGTTAGCTTCCGAGACTTTGTCATCAGCCACATGGATCTTCCTACGACTAAGGATGCCTTCCTCCCGGGGTTATGTAACAGTGTATTTGGAAATGAAAATCTAAACTTCCGCGTTCTGGCGTTGAGGATTGAGTTTTAAAGTAGGTATAATTATATATAGCCTCTGTTATTACTCTGTGCTTTCTTTGTACTCTTGGCGGCGTGCGGTCTCCAGCCGAGCACGCCGCATCCAAGTGAGTGTTAATCATGATTATTAGCCGCACGCGAGGGTGCTTAGGAAGGGAAATGTAATCGATAGATGAATTTTTTCGCGTTTCGATGGAATGTATCTCTAGGGAGTAATGGAGTACTTTTAAAAGGAGTGTGTAGGTTGTGTGAATCATTCTTGGCGTTCTCTGGAACCGTTAACGAAATTTAATTTATTTATTTTTGTTGTGAATATTTGATTTCTCATGCTTGTTTCTTTTTTATTTCAGGATTTTTGAATTCTAYCGATTGAAGTTATCGATTAGGACAATCATTAATAGTTATTTAATTCTTCTTTTTTGCTATTTGGTTTTCATGTTAATCATTACATTAGCTATTATTATGAGTATTAAACATTTTTTTGTGTGTTTATTTATTTTCATTCTTTCTTTCTGTAGAAAGCCGCCTAGAGTCGTACATATCGATCGGAACGCTAGCAATTTATTAGCGAGACATCGGGACGTCATGTGCCCAGTAGGACGTTAAATGCCTAGCGCGGATGTAGGGACGTCATGTGCCCAGCGAGTGACATCGGGACGTCATGTGCCCAGGGACGTTATGTGCCCAGCGAGTGATGTCGGGACGTCATGTGCCCATTAGGACGTCATGTGCCTAGCGCGGATAGCGGGACGTCATGTGCCCAGAAAGTTTATTTCTTGGGGTTATGTACCCGCTCGGGTTTCGATCGATATGTAGTGTGGTCAGCCTTACTGGTAGGAATCACACAAAACCTTTTTTGTTGTTGTTGTTCTCGCTAACTTGAGGGTTTTTGTTTCTCTTAGACGTTTTTCAGTCGCAGATGTGGAAAGACTTTCATGATTCCATTCCTCCATCTCATGCTTGTGGCCGACAACGTCAAAAGTACAGTGTTTGGTTCTAAGTCTGATGGTACAGTCAAGACGTATATGGGTGGGTTTGTCCGTTGGAAACGTTGGGCGAACGCGAATCGCCTATGTCACCTACCCGCGAATCCATTCCATGTGGCAGTATATATGCAATTACTTGGAGAGGAAGCAAACACTCCTTCCCCAATCACAACAGCTGCGTATAGCATTGACTGGGTGCATGGTTTGTCCGGATACGACAAAGTATCCTCCCACTGCATGGTAGAGTCCATGTTGAGCGTCCTACAGAGAGTGTTGGCCAAACCAAAGAACAAAAAAGAACCGATTACCATAGAGATGCTGCAATCATTGGCGGCCAAATACAAAGATAAGTCGTCAATTTCTGATTTACGCTTAATGGCCATGTGCCTTGTTGGTTTTGCTGGTTTTCTAAGGTTTAGCGAGTTATGCTCGATTCGCACTAGAGATATTAAATTTGATACAACTTACTGCTCCATTTTCATAGAATCCTCCAAGACGGACCAGCTGCGAGAAGGCGCTTGGGTTAATATCGCCAGAACTGACAGAGATACCTGTCCGGTTACTGCGCTTCAAAGATACGTCTCAGTGGCTGGCCTTATACTGGACGACGACCTTCCCCTCTTCCGAGCTTTGGGCCCATCCAAGACTTCTAAAGTACGTCAGCAGGGGATAAGCTACACGAGGGCGCGGGAACTAGTGAAAGAGGCCTTCAAGGACATTACCGATGTCTCAAAGATCAGTCTGCATAGTCTCCGATCGGGTGGAGCGTCCGCTGCCGCGAATGGTGGAATACCCGACCGCCTATTTAAACGCCACGGAAGATGGACAAGCGAAAACGCCAAAGATGGCTATGTAAAGGACAATTTGCAAGCTATGCTGTCAGTGTCAAAATCATTAGGACTTTAGTTGTTGGCCGAGCCCAGCAGGTCGAAGGTTGTGGGTCATAGGGCTGGGGTTTTT